TATCCCAATTATCCAACCATGAGAACAATTTTTTCTATCGTATTGACATCTCAACACAATGCAATCTACAATTTGTTTCAATTTGAACAATGATAAATTCTGAAAAAGCTAACTGTTACCATCGACTCAGCCACTGATCCCACCTTGATGTGATTGAGGATTAATTTCTTTAGTACATCTCTTTTCACTATCAATTCTTCTCTCAGTCATCCATACGTACATTGTAGTTGTCATTGCTAAAGAAGGAAAATAATCGTCATACTTTCACACGAACTGGAAATATTTTCCTTCTGTTTCATCTACAACCTCTTGATTCTTTTGTTGTCATGAGAAAGGAGAGGACAAATATTTATATAGAAGAAGTATAGAACCAAAGGGAAGTATAGAGGAAGATGAAAGGATTCGGGAATGACAATATGTCATATGTTTAAATTTATAATTATGTACAATTAATTTACCCTTTCAACTTCCACACATCCATTTGTAACGCCGCAATCAGCTATTATTAGCATATTAAACACGATCTTACTTGGAGTTAAAAAAAACATTAACTTCTTACCAAAAGTATCAAAGAAAATCAAAAAAAGGCAAAATGGGGCATATCAAATAAACATTTATTCATAATAATTATAAGAAATTCAATAGTTTCATGTAAAATGACCAATTTGTCTCCAACTTAATATTCAAAAGTATAAGAAATGAAGGATAAAAACGACAAAAAAAAAAAAAAAGTTTCTCCAGATCTTGTCTTTTATATATACTATAGATTAACATTTCCTTAAATTGGAGTGCATTTCTCTAAACCACCCTTAATTGAAATTTACATCATAAATAATAAACTTTTGCAAGGAATCTCCTTCCAAATGACATTGATGGCTAAGGCCTTAGACACACCCCCTCCTATTAATGCTTAGAATCTTTAAGATCCCCAATTCCACCCTCCATTTTAAAGTAAACTTATAGAAGTGTTGCCGTCGGAATATTAACTTTAAGTTGGAAGATGATGGCTCATCTTTGACTTTCATCTCTCATATTATGTTCACATACGTGGTAATTCTTTTAGATTAGTTGAAGTCAAAAAAAAAAAAGAAATCTTTTAGATTAGTTTAAAATTTAAAAAAACAATGATTACAAATGTAGCCAACTATGGGAGCTCCCAAAAAAGATGATTCATTTTACGAATTGAGTAACTTTATTTGACGTAAAATGGTACGAGGTTAATAGACCATGTTTGCATAACTTAAGGTTAAGAATTAAGAAGTTGATTCTATATTTGATGTCTAAGGGACCGTTTGATAACCACCTAGGAATTTATTCCAAAGGCAAATATAATCTCAAGCTTGTGAATATTTCCCTTTAACATAATGACTTCCATTTCAAATCATAAACTATTATCGACCAAGACACAAAGGTTATCTAAAGAATTAGAAACCCATTTTCCTTAAATTCAGTTTTCTCTTGTATATAAAGTGGTTAAATTCTCTAACACTAGTCTGGAGTGTTGGGAATCATTGTAAAATAATTCTTTAGCCATAAGTTGTCCCACGTGGAAAAAGATTATCATCTCTTGAGAAGAGATTTTATAAGCTAAAGCCTTTTGGAGTGAACTTATAAACATGATTTGGGTTAATCCTAAATCATGGGTCTGTTCTGATAAGTGCAATTCTAGCAATACAACGATATATCACCGCGGTTGATTAAGCCATCTTCATTTTCAGCATCTAGAATGATTTGTTGATCAATTAGCCTTTAAAGTTAAGACCATCTGATTTTCCGAGTCAAGAGATCAGTCGTATTGGAAGTTTTGTTCCTTTGTTTGAAGAATATTTGTGACAAAATGAGAGTTCTTTTTCCGGATGAAGAGACTATTGTTGAAGAGTACGTGAGAAACATATTCAAGAGAGACTTTTAAACATCAACGAGATCGACGTAATGTCATAAAGATGACTCAAATGTCCAATAGGAATCGGTAATTCTAATATCATCTCAAAGAAGATTGACGGATTTGCAGCTGTCTTCTTTTTTTAAAAAAAAAGAGATATACCATTCATTAAGACAAGTATATAAAGAACATACAAAAAGGAGGTTCAAACGGAAACACTCCAATTGAGAGAAATGGTAGCTATATCGTAATTACAAAAGAGAGATGATTTTGATGACCAAGATAAGACTAGAATCTTGGAATCATCTCAAAGGTGTGCACAAGATCTTGATGAATCTGAGAAGATGCGATTGTTGCGCTCCATCCAAATGTTCCAAAGATACTCCAAAGAATATCTCTTCGATCTTTTAGGGTTTGCAGCCGTCTTTAAAAATGTGGTTGTTTTGTTCTTTCCATTCAAATACACATAGGATATAACTGAGCGTTTATCTTTAAGATGGCGATTATATTTTGAATTAAAAGCAATATCTCCCTAACCAAATAGAGAGTTCTTGGGTGACATATAACATTACAGTTAGTGCAACGTTTAAACAAATTAAAATACATGCAACATGGCTTTGTTAGTATATTAGACTAAGGACAAAACAAAAATTTTCAAAGGGGGAGGTAAAATTTACCTTTAAATTTTGTATATGTGTGATCTTTTAAATTTTGAAAGGAAGAACTTTAAAATTTTTAATATTTTTATATAGTTTTTTAAAACTAACGATGAACAAATAGAGGCAACTTCTTTCTTCTTTATTCCGCCCTTGAGTTACGTTAGACTTGTAAGAGTGTGACCTCGATTCCCATTTGATTAAATATACATGGAATACAAGACAAATCTCTCAATATATAGACCATGCATAATTCATAAATTGACCAACCAATTACTATATTAAGACATTTTAAAATATTAAGGTTAGAATTTAAAACCTATAACTTAAAAAAACAAAAATAAAAATGTCTCAACCCTTTGAATAATATTCATGTTGGAAGAGGACGGTAACCCAATAGTAAGCCTAATTAGGACACACAAATATATTAGGCACTTAATGAAAGGAAAGTGCAAGCAATCTGGGGATTTTGACCTTTTTTTATTTATTTAATAGATAATTGAATGTATTTAATGCATTATTCATTGGCAAACTTTTAAAAGGAACAAAATTGAAGATGGGTGCTACTAATTTTGGAAAATAAAACAGCAAGAAATCTTTTATTCCTTTTGATATTACAATTAAATTTAAATGGACACACAAAAGCAAGCAAAATGGTTGTTTTCTTCTTTTATTCTTCCAATACTGCATGAGCAGCTCAATGGATATTTCATGTTTTTCATCCTGAGAAAAACAAAAAGGAAGAAGAAAATATTGGGTTATGATATAATATTGCTGAGTAAAAATAAAAGGAATGTTTAATAAGAATAAGAGACAAATTTTTAAAGATATAATATTTTGGTTCAGGTAAGCTTTGATTCATTTTGGTTATTTTACTTTTAACTTTAGTTCATTTTTGTCCGTGCACTTTCAAAATGTTTATTTTGGTTCTTGTATTTTAAAAATTTTGATCTCTTAATTTTATTTTTAATCTCATTTTTTTTTATTATAATTTCAACCCAACACTACACTCAATATATTTATTGAAATGTAATTATAACTTTATATTAAAGGGCTTCTGTTAGGTATAGAATTTGTGTTCAAATTGTGAAAAAATAGGGATCAGAATGGTCGTTTTTTAAAAGTATGCAAAGACCAAAATAAACATTTTAAAAGTATTTATACTAAAATCAACCAAAGATAAAATTATAGGAACAAAAAGTATTTTAACCCGTAAAAAAATATGTACTTTTGTTGGATCGGAAGAGCCAAATTCTAAGGCAACACTTACCGTTTTTGTTTTTTACTTGAACCATGTAGCCATCAAGAATCCAACCCCAAGGGTTCGCTATATGAACATTTCTCTCTGTTCATATAAATACACAAGTTGTATATAAAGATATTTTTTTTTATTACTCACAAGTCGGCGGCCCTTTAGTTTTTTGTCCCTCTACCTAGGGTATGCGCCAATGGTGGCTAGAGAATTAAGTTGTGTATAAAGTCATTGGCTAGGGTTTCTCCATATAATAAGACTCCATTTCTTCTTTCGCAATATCAACTTTTCTTTATTTATAGATTGTCTAAATACTCATCATTGCTTCTTTTGATACCTCATACTTCAAGTAGAGAGAGCTTCAAAAAAAAGGAAAAAAAAATGACATTTTACATATCCCAGAGACTAAAACCATCATTTTCTTTTTAATTTCAATGATCAAATAGAAACTACTACATATATTACCTCTTTTTCGTCATCGGTCATTATCATAGCATCCACCGGAGCTCCGGTACGGGAAAGGAACTTCACCAGATTCAATATGCTTGACATCCTCTACAAGAAGCTGGTAGTGCCTCTTGACTTCCTCTTCAGTTTTGCCACCAATGGCGTTTGCAACATTCAGCCATCGTTGAGGTGTGTCTTCATCATACACTGCCAAAGCCCTTTCAAATGCCTTGTTTTGCATTGCACTCCATGCACCATCCGACCCATGAGCAGACATTGAAGCCATTGATAATGCTAAAGTTTGACAAGGAGATTAGCTCAAAGACAATACAAAAGAAAGCTTCAATGGGTTTGAAGTGGAGAGAAAAGAAATGGGTTAATAAAAAGATCTCAAATTTTGCAAGGAAAAGAATGATATGTGCCAAAGAACAGGCAGTGAATGCCCTTTATAAGGAGGAGGCTAGAGGTATTGCCAATTGGGCAAAGGGAATTCTTTTGCATGTGGAGGGGAATTTTAATGATTTGTGTCCTTACAAACCACAAGATTTTTAGTATATAAGGACAAAGACAACAATTGGAGATGGGGAATCAGTATCTTCCAAAGAGCTTTCCTTTTTCTTCCTTAAAAAGAAAATGGAATTTTTGAACAAATGGGTTTTGGTCTTGTAATTGTACTATAATGATCTTTTGAAGAAAAAAATATGATTAGAAATTATAACATAGTCAAATTCATCTTAAAGTTATCATGAAATATATTTTGTTTTGTTTTGCTTTTATTTGATAAATATAGGAAATAGAATTGAAAAAGTGAAGCGTACAAAAGATAGAGGTCCACCAGTAGGGTATCTGTGTCGTCATTAAGAATTTCAGCCAGAATGAGATGCTTAAAGATAAGAGTCTCTATCATTCTCTAAATGGTAGATGTTCAACCCTATAACTACAAAATCTATGTAGAAAGATGTGAGAAACATATACGAGGAGACTATAAAAAAGCTCTCCAGTTCAGAAAAATGGTAGAGATATCATAATTACATAAGAAGCGGGATTTTGAAAACCGATAAGAGAAGCAGTGCAGTTTTGATATGATATATTTGAGAATGGGATACTCATGGCAATGCTAGTATATTTTCCTTTCTTTTACAACATTAATATAGTCCTTCATAAAGGTTTGTATACTTTTGCTTCATTTGAAAACAACTTATTAATTTATATTCAAGGAAACTTTTTGCATTATATAATGATTGGGAGAATTAAATCATATTCACATTATATTCTCTACCCTTTTGGAAAAGAAAAGGACAACTTCCTTCATGAAGCATAGGCTTAGACTAAATATCTATTGGAATATATATAGACCTAGCTAGCCTTGGGCAAACAAAGGCATCAGGTTCACAAAAGTTCTGCCATTGCTTTACTGCTGCAACTTGGCCCTTAGAGCAGTCCCCAAGCCAATGGGGAATATCTTTGTCACACTTTAATTAGTCTAATTACTTCACCATATAGATTTTAAAATATTTGTTGGGCATATATGGTATTATTTTTATTTTATTTTTTCATATCTATGAGTGTCTGGATCAGCTTACAGACATCTCGACTAATCTTACGGAACAACTGTTTGACCTTACTACATTTGGTTATCAAGAAAGCTCATAGGATATTAAATCCTTAAGTAGGTAGCCACCATAGTTATTGTTTAAGTAGTTAAAACGATTAGAGCATGTGTTGATCGATTCAAGTCGGAGAGTCTTACAACTATGACTTGTTGAATCGAAATATATATATAGATATTATTAAAATGAATTGCTTCAAATTAAAGTATACAAAAAGTTGAATGAAAAGCTACTTGAAAAAAAAATCATTCCAACAACTACACTAATTAAGTCAAATGAAATCACAGATTACTTGTGAATTGGCCTTTTTTGGGACATAATAATTAACCCACTTTTTGGTTCAAAATTTTCACTCCTACCTTCTATTGAGAGAAAATATAGGGTTTAAATTACCAATTTTATTTAGTTTCAATTTTGTTCAATTTTACCGGATTCAATTTGATTCTTATGGTTTGGTCAAATCTCACATATTGTTTGTGTCGTTACTGTGTTGACTGCATGATACACTTTCTATTTACATGGCAACAGTTTAATATTTTGTTATTTGGTTTGTGTGTTAGGTGACTTTAAATGAAGTTTAAGAAGGCTGAGATAGAAAATATGGAAAAATGAGTGAATTTTTAGTAGGTAAAAAACAGTTGAAAAGGACCATTCGGGAGGTTTAACCAAGACCAAATTAGTTATTTACGACTTTACTTTGAAACTATTTTTTTTTTTTGGGGGAAAAAAGGCACCAATTCATTGAACAAGGAATATGAGAAACATACCTCAAAGGAGGAGAAAACTCTCCAATTAAGAGAAATGGTAAAGATGTCATAATTTATATTAAAAAAAAAAGGAGATGTTTTTGGATCAAGAAGAAGCTGCTATTTTAATTTAATGTCGTCCCGAAGCTAATTTATAGGTCTACTTATATCCATGAAGTATCGATTATTCGCTTTGAACTTTCTTTATGACTTAAAAAATATTCCTTATCAAGATGAACATCATCAAAGAAGAACAAGAAGACTATCAAATTAGAAGACAACGACAACTAACGTCATGTTATGATAATGAAATTTGCTTGGAGAATGAATGAGAGTCATTTTTATAAGGATGGATTGGGAAGCCACAGCCTTGGTTGAAAATTATATCAAATAAACTTTTGCAAGGAATCTCCTTCAAATGGCATTGAATCTTTGAGATCCTCAATTTTTCACCCTCCATTTCAAAGTAGTATATAGAGTGTGGTCCTCGAATATAATATTTACTTCAACTTGGAAGATGGTGGCTTATCTTTGACTTTTCATTTTCTCGTATTGTGCTCACATACGTGTGTTGTGTTTGTAAAGTGAATGCAAACAAAGTCTCACATTAACTATGGAAGGGAATGAGCATGGATAATATATAAGAAAGGACAATTATCTTCATTGGTATGAGGTCTTTTGGATGAAACTAAAAGTAAAGTCGTGAGGATTATGCCCAAAGCGAACAACATCATACCATTGTGGAGATACTTGGGGTACCTTTGTCATGAGTCCAGATCGGTACCTCGAGTTGGTAGTCGGGCTCCGAACATTACTACCACGACGAATATCGACCCGAGCCCAAAGAAGATCACATCATAAAATTAAATACTAGGCAAGGATTTTAACTTACCATTCTTAAATAAAATGTCTTAACTACTCGTAGAAAAGGAAGAGTAACAAAATCGAAGGGGGCTTTTCAAAAAAAACAAAAAACAAAAAACAAAATTGAAGGGAGAAAAAGAGAAAAATTAGCCTGGTTAAAGAGATATAAAATATTAGGCATTGAATGGAAGGAAATTGCTAGCAATCTTGGAGGGGGKTTTTTTTTTTTTTTTTGAGTAAGAAGGATTTCAACCTTCCAAAAATAAAGTGTCGTAGCTCAAGGAGAGTACAGCGTATTAAATCTGCTACTGAAATATTTTACTGATTATAATCTCATAGTTACAATTTGTTTTTATGCCTTGTACATAATTATTAACCTTTTGCAACACAACAAAGGCTAGCATGTGGGGATTTGAAATTCCAATTTCAATGAAAAGAGTAATATTATTACCACTAAGATGTGTTCGTGTTGGAATTTAATCTTATTCATGGATAGGAGTTAATATACAAAACACATCTCCAATTCCAAAAATTCGTAACGTTAATGATTTTGATTTAATAGACAATTGAATGTATTTAATGCACTATTCATTGGCAAACTTTTCTAAGTAACAAAATTGAAGATGGGGCTAAAAGAGTATAGTTCAACGGTACCTCACATGTTGTAAATCTGAAGATGATGCTGCTTATGGAAAATAACATAGCAATAATTTTTTTTATTTCTTTTATTACAATTACATTTAAAACTTAAAGGGGCACACAAAAGCAAGCAAAATGGTTATTTTCTTCTTTTTATTATTCCAATACTGCATGAGCTGAGCTCGCTCAGTGGATCTTCATGTTTCTCATCCTGAGAAAAACAAAGGAAGAAGAGGAAAATATTGGGTGATGATATATATAATATTGCTGAATAAAAATGAAAGTAATGTTTACTAACATGAACAATAAGAGCCAGAGCCAAATTCTGAGGCAATTCATGCAGCTTTTGTTTTTYCTTTTTCCTTTTTAAGCCCCTAGTAGGCATAGGGTCCATACCGTACATATACAAATAGTCATTGTTTGATTGAAGTTACGTTCCATGTGGTTTGAATCCAAGACTTTAAAAATATTTTTTGAAGCCCTAAGTCCACCCAAATTGTCCTTTGGAGACTACCGCTTTTGTTTTTTCTTGAAACATATAGTCATAAGTTTACAGATTCCATTCCCAAAAGGGTCTTTATTCATTTTTTTTTTAAGATACCAGATAATTAATTAAGAAGTACGTGAGGAACATACAAAAGGGAGGCTACATGAAAGCACTGTAGAAATATCGTAATTTGAAAGAGGAGTGTGGAGGAACAATTAGAAACTTTGATATCCTAAGGGGTCTCTATTCATTGATAATGACACTCCTCTGCTCATATAAATACAAGTTGTATATAAAGTCGTCAGCTTGTTGGCTAGAGAATTAAGAGCCAATGGTTGGCTAGGTTTTATCTCCACAGAACAAGATCCCATTTCTTGTTTCCCAAGTCCAACTTTTCTCATATAATAGATTGTCTAAATACTCATCATTTCTTCTCTTGAAGCCTCATGGACCCAAGGATCAGATAGGTAACTTTTAAAATTTCAGGACTAAACTAAAAGTTATACTCAAACTTTGACGGGTCTTGATTTTAGAACTTAAAAATCAAATAGAAACTAAATTTTAAGTAATACAGAGAGTCTGTTTAGTAACGTTTCTATTTTTTATTTTTCGTTTCCAAATTTATTAAGAATCCTAAATTCTTTTTTTTTTCCAAAAAGATACCGACCATTTCAAGAAATATAATCGTTTGACAACTATTTGTATTTCTTGTGTTTCTCATTTTTTTAGAAATAGTCTCAAAATTGTATAGAAATTTTATGAACAACAAAAACAAAATTCTTGTTCTTATTCCCACTTCAAACTTGTTCCAAAACATGAATGAAAACATTGTTTTGTCATTCTTGAATCTATGGTGGTTGCATGCAATTCAATTTTTCTTCGTTAAAAATATAAACTGGAGCCAACCAGAACATAGCTCAGCGAGTTAAAACACATGTATCCAAAAAAAATTTAAATTAACCAGAATAACGGAAACGTTGCAAAATGGGCCCATAGCATTCTCCTGAGTATATTACCTGTTTTTGTCATTGGCCATTGTCACATACGCCTGTAGGGGAAAGAAACTTCACCAAACTCAATATGCTTGACATCCTCCACAAGAAGTTGGTAGTGCCTCTTGACTTCCTCTTCAGTTTTTTCACCAATTGCCTTTGCAACATTCAACCATCGCTGAGGTGTATCTTCATCATACACTGCCAAAGCCCTTTCAAACGCTTTGTTTTGCATTGCAGTCCATGAACCTGACCCATGAGCAGACATTGAAGCCATATATTGATAATATTGTCAAAAATAAAGACAAATACAAAGGAAAGCCTTCAAAGAACTCAGAGTTTGCAAGGAAAATATTTAGTGATATGTGCCAAAGAGCAGGCTGTGGGTGCTCTTTATAAGGAGGAGGCCCGAGGGTAGCATTGCCAATTGGGCAATGGGAAATCTTTTGCATTTGAAAGGGAATGTTGATGATTTGAATCTTTAGAAACCACAAGATGTGGTAAAGAACAAAAGACACATGACAATTGGAGAGGGAGAATCAAGATCCAATTCCAAAGAGTTTTTCTTTTACCTTCCTCGAAAGTGATGGCAAATTTTGAACAAATAAGTTTCGGTATTGTAATTGGTCGAGTATAGAAGCAATAGTTTTTCTTTTTTAACCAGATACTAGATACTATCTATGAAAAATATACAAAGTGGATGAAACTGTTAAGTATCCTACATTAAAAAGAAAAAGGACCTTACGTAGGTTTATAATAGATCTAGGCTACTTCTCTCATAGTCAACTGATTTTGAGATGGAACTCCATGAATATTAATATAAAACACTCTAATTAAGAGAAATAGCAAATATATCATATAGTTAGAAAAGAAAGTCGAGAAGTAAGAGTATGGCGATGTTTTGAAGAAAAATATAAAACTAGGAAATTGAAACATGATTATATTATAATGCATATCAAAGTTATGATGAAATGAGTAGAAAGACAGAGCAAGAAAAAGAGATCCATTCAAAAAGTGTATTTTTATAGTGAAGAAAATTTCAACGAGAATGAGATGCTTAAAGATAAGAGTTCCAATAATGATTTGGTAAAAGTCAGAGATTTCTACATCAACAGCAAGTTAATCATTCTCAAAGATAAGAGTTCCAATAATGATTTGGTAAAAGTCAGAGATTTCTACATCAACAGCAAGTTAATATATAATTTGAGAAGGTGGTGCTCTCATGACAACACTAGTCCCCATATCTTATAAAACAAATTAAAAATTTGTTAAGCTGAGTGTAAATAAACTGATTAAGCATCTATTTTTTACCAAAAATGCGTGAGTTCAAATCCCCACATCATATTGTATTAAAATAAAAATAATTAATACCTCCTACTTAAGTGACTATCCAATGAAATAAAAACTTTTTTTTTTTTGCTTCTTTTGCCATAATAATATAATCTTTCAAAAGGTTGTATACTTTATATGCTAAAAACTTTTTGCATTATATATATGATTGGAAGTATATATTTCATCACATTCACACAAATATTATATTCTCTTCCTAGAAAAGAGGTATAGGCTACACTAAATATCCATTGGAATATATAGGTAATTAAGGGTAGGGGGAAACAAGGGCATCAGGATCATAAAAGCTAGAATTGTCCTACCATGGCTTTAAGCTGCAACTTGCTCTAGGGCAGTCCCCAATCCTAAGGGCAATACCTTGTCACACTTGATGGTTTATTCTATTCACTTCTGTGAAGATCTAAAACTTGTTGGGACATATTTGGTATGATAAATATTTAAAGGGTTTCAAGTTTTAAGGCTATATATGGAATCTTATAAGAAAGGCAATTTGAAAAGAAAGAACCCTAATTGGTTAACTCAAATCAAAAAGGTCCTATAAGTATTGTGATCTGACTCTCCCATGAATTTACTTGTCCATACATTTCAAATACATGTTATTATAGTTGCTTACTTCATATTAAAGAGGTTGATGCCGAATTTTTTGGTGAGGTCCACGTAGGTGCCATATATGCCCACGTCTCTAAAATCCTGATGCCCATGTAAAGAAATTATCTRGCATAAGTGTGGTGTTGATCTGTCGAATGCATTGCAATGCTTAAGTTAGAATCCAAGGATGGAGCAAATAAGTATGGAGCAGAAAGAATAAGGAGGCACTAATCTCAAGGGTGAGAGTCTGTTTCGAGGTAAAATGTGGCTTACCTTCAATTAGAATTGCTCACTTTTTTATATATGGAGACAGATCATTATATAGAGAGGGGGTTCCTCCGACTCACGTGTCCACAGGGAGCAATATGCTGCGCCAACTAGTARCCCAAGTATATTTATTATAAATCTTTGTTAAGTCCCTTATTTTTTTTCAATGTAGGATCCTTAACACTGAGTGATCGTATTGACAAAAGGTAAAATATTCGGCTCCGGTGAGTATACGTCTGAGTTCGGATTTGTGTTAACCTTCGGAAGCAACCAGCATATATACGATTTAGCACCGTGGTCGTGCCGAAATTGCTTTCAAGGTAGTGGTTCAACCATGGCACAACAATCGTTTATCATCTAATCTCCTCTTCTAGTTCCAACAGTAGTTTGTGTACATAGTTTCAACACTCTACCCACTGGTTGTCCTCTGTATGGGACGTTCAATAGCACTTGGCCTCTCTATGCACCCGGATCTCCTCCAATGTGCTCGAACGTGCTGGATTGGTTTCCTGACCTAGCCCATGTAGCTTAATTGGCTTTTTGACACCACTCAGTTTTTACCCGGAAGGACTATACTCAATTAAATACAATTTCAATGACTCGTTTTGTTGTATGTAATTCAATTTATGTTTCACTTTGTATCTAGAAAAGATAATAGTAATACCATTTCATTTGATCACTAAATAGCTAGATTAATGCATGAATGTATCAAAACTAAATCACCCAAGGTACTTTCTTTCCACATGACTTTTAACAAATTTTTCTTTGTCAAAATGAAGAACACCAATTAAAGAAAATGAAAGACAAAGACTCGTGACATGTTATGATAATCAGATTCGCTAGCGATGAATATTAGACCCACACTTTCAAGATGAATTGAATGGTGATGATTATTTGAAAACTACACATGAAAATAAACTTTATGCTTAGAATCTTTGTCCATTTGAAAGTAATATATATCTTCAGAATCTCCCCTTTTTTCCCTTTTTTTTTTTTTTGGGACTATTCCCTTCTATGGTGGTCCTTGAATTAGTACTTCGAGTTATCTTTGACTTTCATTTTTCTACATATAAATAATACTTGGTCACTGTGTTTACATATATGATGGTTCTTTTTAAGATCTAAGAAAAAAATAAGGAAAAGTAAAAGATTATGACCACCGACGAGCTATGTAGAAGTAGAAATTTGAATCAATATTAAGATTATTTCCAAAAGATATGACTCACTTTGCGAAATAGTGTTGTTGGATTTGTAAAGTGTGCAGACGAAGTCTCACATTGATTAGGGAGAATAGTGATTCATGGTATATAAATGAGAACAATTATCTCCATTTATATGAGATCTTTGGGGGAAAGCAAAAGTAAAGTCGTGAGGGTTATATACACAGTGGACAAATTAGTGACACGTGGCTACAGTGGCGTCATTGATAGTCAGTTTTACCTAGTTTTTTTGTAGTGAGTATTGATTTTATATGAATTTTTAAGAAGCATATTTTTATTGGTTAAAATTATTTGACTAAACAGTTAAGTTTGGTAGATTCCATGGGTGAAAGTGAATAAACCAAAGACAAGTGTGACAAGTCTTGTCCATAGAACCCAAGTTGCAACATAAAGCCATGGCATGATAAAGCCCTAGCTTTTGAATCCTCAATGCCTTTTGTTTGCCCCTATAGCCTATTATATATTCCAACATATATTTAGAGTAGCCTATACCCTCATGAGGAAGTGTCATTTTCTTTTCTTTTGTAGGCTAAGAATATAATATTGAGTGAAAGTGATAGAAATTCTTCCAATCATTTATAAAGACTTCTTTTTTTAGTAATGTGTTTTCTAATATACTAATTTCAAATATATATTGTCTACCAAACTATTTCAAAAAATAATACTTGAAAAATTACAGATTTGTCTCCTGAAAAGACAAAAAGACGACCCGTGAGTTTTCCAATCACATGGCGCTTCTTTGGCACCATGTATTTTTTTTTTTAAATCCTAGCATGTCGTCTCTTAGAGATGACATATGTTAAAGTTATACAAATCTGATGCTCTGGTAGTAGTCTCTTGAGTTCAAGTCACCATAATGTCATTTTTTTTATCGAATAAAATGTTATATTGCAATTTTTTTCTCTTTTAAACAAAATTTAAATAAATATTATCTATTAAATTTTATCTTCCTTTATACAATAAAAAGACATACTAATTATAAGAAAATAAAATAAAATCTTCATATTAAAATTTCAAATTCAAAATCGGAAACCACAAATAACATATGGATTGCCTACCAAACAATTAGTCTTCCTTGGCGCCCTGTTTTCTTTTTTTTTTTAATCCTAACATGAGATGTCATATGCCAAAGTTATATAGATCCACAATGTCATCTTTCTTTATCCAATAAAATGTTATATTACACTTATTTTCTCTCGTAAAAAATTTAAATAAACCTTACCTATTAACATTTATCTTCTTTCATAAAATAAAAGAACATACTAATCCTAAGAAAATAAAATAAAATTTTCATATTAAAATTTCAAATTGAAAATTTGAAAATAATAAATAAAATCTTGATTGCCTTCTYATGAGACCTAAAAGAAATTTATAATATACCTGAATTATCTCTTATTGCTAATTAATTTTAAGATGGAATCCCATAAACATCGAGAAATTAAAAAAAAAATTCAAAACAAGTTTTTTTTTCTAACATTCTAGATAATTGGCTAATCTCTTAGATAAAAGGCTGCTTTTGATATATTCTCCTCTTAATTTATTTTATGGATCTGAGTGGGTTCATGTTGACATGAGTATCTCATTTTAGGTTTTTTTTTTTTTTTTTTTTGGTCATTTGTGTGTTTGTGTGGTGTGGTGTAATGTTTTTGCATAGGAGAGAATCGTGTAGAAAGTCTTATCTTCGAGCATCTCATTCTCGTTGAAATTTTCTCATTATTCAACATACTTTTATTAAGTGTCTTATCTATCTTTGTGCTTTGTCTGTTTATATATTTAGCATGTAATAATTTCTAAATGAATTTAATTTAAACTCTCGTTTCTAATTTATTACTTTTTCACAGGAACATCAACATAATAATAATTTTTCTCAATCAATTACATGAGAAAATACTCCTTTTGAAGAGAATGAATTATCTAGGCTTTAAATTCCAAATGAGGTATGCTACTTTAATAATAATTGAAAAAAAGACAGAAACCCTTTATTCATATATATAGCTCAACTCATTATATAATTCTGATGTTTATGTTAAGGATCTTATATTGAAAAGAAAATGGATCTTACAATAGTTTATAATAGACATTGGTTTTGAGATAAAATCCCATGAAGAGCTTAAAATGCTAAAACGAGGCTAAGATCGATGAGCCAAAAATAGCCACGATCTTGAGGGAGCATGTTAATTAAGGATCCCACATTGAAAAGAAGAGGACCTAAATTTATAATAGACATAGATTACTAGCTCCTCTTATTTTACCCTTGTTTGAATCGTAATACTTTTAAATACATGTCGATCGAAAGTAGGCTTAGTTGATAGTTAGATCTAATTGCTAAGTTTTGAAAAACCAAAAATATTTTTTTTTAATAAGAGAGAAAAAAACTTATTGATCATCATGAAAGAGTATTTTTTCTTTTCCTTTTTAAATATATCATCATGAATCAAAATGAAATCACATAGGAATTGCTTTATTTCACTTTGTAATACAGGTGTGTGGTAATAATGGGAAATATATAGAAACTGTCAAAAACTATCTTTGAAAAATGCAAAAGATTATTTCTTTGAGTGTGTCAAAATTTACAGAGGACCAAGAAATATATTTATAGGATTTATGTCATCTTTTTGTATTATTTAGTACATTCTTTGAGAGACTGTTCAGTGTTTGTAGATAGATAAAATAGTAATTAGTTTTCTTGATATTATCCTCTTCCTATTCATCATATTTAGAATTCACTTCTTACACCCTAATATAGGGTTCTAAATACGACGTAAATAATTTGATATATGTATAAATTAAGGGTGTGTTTGGGAGTGATGGTAGAATGAGTGATTTTGAAAAAAGAGATTTAATTATAATTGATTTTCCAAAATTACCTTGCAAATGTTACCTTAAAAATCAATCTAAAAGTGATTTTAAATTTTTCTAAAATCAATTTTTTATTAAAATTTATGGGGTTCCATCCCAAAATCAATTGGCAACGAGAGGAGTAGCCCATGTCTATTATAAACCATTGTAAGGTCTCTTTCCTTTTCAATGTGTGATACTTAACATTTTTTAATTTGTCAAACATGATCACTGGAAAGGGAAGTGATTTTTGGGCAAAAGTGATTTTGGTCATACTAAAATCACTCTCAAACACACCATATATAAATATAGATTTGGCAGCTAGCAAAATCTCATATTACAAAATAACATAGTTCAAAAAATAAATTGTGCCAAAGCGAGTACAGCACAATTGTAATTGGTATATATCTTCAACTGAGAGGTTGTGAGTTCGATCTCTCACCACACATGTTGTATTAAAAAAAATTGCAAATACAGTAAAAAAAAAAGTAAAATATGTGACTGCACATCAATTAATGTTGATGGAGATATATTAAGAGTATACTTCTATCTTGCTTTAGCTTTCTTGGTGTCGAGATATTCAAATATGAATTAAATTTATCCAATCTATAAGCTTAAGCTTTTGAATTGAGTGGTAGTTTATTCATATTTAACACTTGGCATAGATCATATTCGTAGGATTATTGTTAACGATCTTACATTAGATACTCAAAAAAGTCACCATTAGATAAGGAATCTAACAAAGGTTTATAATATATGGATCTAATTCAAATACAACAAAAAAACGTTCTTCATTTGTGGAATGGCGAAAATTTCGAAATATATCTATGATAGACCAACATATAAAACCTTCTTCCACTACTCATCTCTCAAGTAATTATATTGATGTCAACCTTATAAACAATACTTAATTCTTCATCAACTATATTAGTACTTGTCAACACAACAAATATTAGCAAGAGACATTCAACCTCATTGAACACTTCTGATTACAGAGAATATTACAACCAACCATATCTAGATTGTTAGCCCCTCATCTAATTAACTTCTCACAAATTCCATTACAATTTCTTGTTCTTTTGGCCGGGATGGGAAAAAAAGGAAAATATTTGGCTCTATATCGATGAGGACTTATAGTGTTCTTACCGCCATTAAATATTTGACAACTAAGAGAAAGAAACGTAACATGTAAATTTTTTTCAACAAATGTGAAGTATTTTCTAAAAAGCAAAGCCCTTTCTGAAAGAGGGACTGATTCTACAATCTCCAATTGTTTCTACCATATTTTTTTTGTTCTTACTTCATCTTGTGGTTTCCTAAGGACCCAAATCATTAAAATTCCCTTTTCCAATGCAAAAGATTTCCCATTGCCCAACTAGGAGTCACCCCACCTATAAACCCTATTGGCTTCTTGCTTATAAAGAGCCCCCAACTCCCCAGTTCTTTTGGCACACACATCATTCTTTTCCTTGCAAACTTTTGAGTCCTCTTTCCAACCTTCTTGTTTTCTCATAACTTCATCAAAAGCTTCCTTTTTGTGTTTTGTATTTGGAAGCATTATTGTCAATGGCTTCAATGTCGTCTCGTGGGTCGAGTGCATGGACTGCAATGCAAAACAAGGCGTTTGAAGAGGCTTTGGCAGTGTATGATCAAGACACGCCCGAGCGATGGCTGAATGTTGCAAAGGCTGTTGGAGAGAAAACTGAAGAGGAAGTCAAGAGGCACTACCAACTTCTTGTGGAGGATGTCAAGCATATCGAATCCGGTCATGTTCCCTTCCCCTATCAAACCTCGAACGATGATGATTTTCCGACAAAAAGAGGTATATGGTAGTCTTTACGTTAGAATATTAATAAAGATTTGTTAAGAACAATGGTATTCCAAGTATCCCTCGTATCTCCATAGGGTTACGGCTTAACTTTTAGTTTCACCCAAAAGACCTCATACTAGTGGATATAAGTGTCCATTATATATCATGGGACTCACTCTCTTCCCTAGTTAGTACTTGCCCTTTGACGACGTAAAAAAATGTCACGATAATGTCACAATGCTCACACATTTCGGCTTTTTTATACTTCAAATTTATGTCACGACACCTAATCATATATTTGAGATTCTCTTATATTGACATTGATCTTCTACATTATTTGAATGAATTTGAACCGAACTTATTTGAGGATTAAGAGCTCCCAGATTTAACAGTTTTTTTTTCTCTCAGGATGAGAAACAAGAGCTAATCATTGAACCAGCTGGTGCAGTAGCTGGAAGAATAAAAGAAGAAAGAAGCATTTGAATTTTCTTCCTATATGTAACCCTTTAAATGTAATTGTACTACTCAAAGAATAAAGAAGAGTTTTATTTTGAAATTTTGTTCCTCTCAAAGAGGAGAGATTTGGTTTTGTACTTATGGTATGTATATGGCATTCATATCTATAAGGAATGTCTTGAATAAATATCCAAATTTTCTTAGAAGGGTTTAAAATCCAAATTTGGAAAGATTCTTCATTTCGTAGTTTTATAGTACAAAATATATAATCATTGATCATACATCCTTTTTTTCTTTTTTCCTTAACCAAACGTAGAGGTGGATTAAAATCTCTGACTTTTTAGTCAAAAATATATGTCTTAATCAATTTAAATCTCTCCACATGGCATGATATTGTCCGCTTTGGACATAGCCCTTACGGCTTGGCTTTTGGTTTCACCCAAAAGGCCTCATACCAATGGAGTAATTGTCTCTCCCTTATATATCCATGATCATTCTATTTCCTAGCCAAGTGGGACTTTGTTTGCAATCACCTTACAAACCCAACATATTTAACATTAAAAACAAATGCAAATTAACTTATATAAAACGACAATGTTAAAGAATTATTTAGGTTTTTAATCCATATACTTATAATCTTTTGTCATTTTTTAAGTATATAATAATATGTGAAGTTTTGGAGATTTAAATTTGTGACCTTTTAGTCAGGATATATATTTTAACAAGTTAATTATACTTTATTTTAGTAGAATAAATATATATGAGAATTGAGAATTGAATCTTTAACCTCTAAAAAATTAGCAAAATGTCTTAACCACTAAGCTATACGCATTCATTCTTTTTAAGTTGTCAAGGTTTATACTTTTTTCCATTTTGATTTTCGTATTTCAAAAGGTTTCATTTTAGTCAATGTATTTAAAAAGAATGGTTTTAGTCCTTTTGCTTTTTTTTTTTTATCTTATGTTTTTCTACCGCAACTTCAAAATAATACTACGCTCAGTACACTTCTTGAAATATTGATGAAATATTTGCATAGCCTTTAAGTTTTTTGTTATGTATGAGAATTTGTGTTATAATTTTGCATACAGGAACCAAATTATCATTTTCTAGAATACAAAAACCAACAAAGACGTTTCAAAAGTATATATAGGGATAAAAAATTGACAAAATTTGAAAGTATGGATCAAAATGGACATTTTAAAATATATGGATTAAAATAAATAAAATCCGAAAATAAGATATACCAAATAATATTTCAACATATTTTTTTATAAGCAATGAAATTAGTATTAAAAGATAGTTAAATTAGTACCCCTCAAAACCAAATTAGAAATTTGCTAAAAACCAACCAACCAATCACACTAAATTCAAACACTACCAAAATTGATCTTCGTCCAAATATAGCCTCTCAAAAAGAGAGAATTTAAAAATTAAAAAAAAAACAAAAAAAAAACAAACAAACATCGATCATCGAACATATATAGCAAGAAAAACCGATGCTCCTACAAATGATATCATCGTCCAACCATATAAAATTAGCCACAAGTCTTAAAAATAATAATGACAATAATAATTTCACTGCTAAATTTAATGAATTTTTTTTTGAGATATGTCAGAGATTGTTTTAGAAATTTATTTACACAAATGTCTAAATTTTTCTATTTTTATATTTTTAGATTTTTAGTGGTAGGATTTTATTTTAATTCTGATTTTAACCTTATTTATTACATTTACATTTATTATAGTTATCCTCACATATACAATATTCCACGCCAAATCAGAAATTGAAAACATCCCTTCCAAACCTTTCAATCTGGAAATGGACTGTTCTGGCGACTGAGAAAAATTGAGGCGGTCAGAGATGAAGGTAGGCTAACGTCGGCCGGAGACGAAGGCAAGCAGAAACACCTGGAGAATAAGAACCGATGGAAATCTCTTTTCGAAGGCGGTCAGAGATGAAAGGCTCTTGCGACAAAGAAAAGCGGAGTCGGCCCGAGAGGAAGGCAGACGGTCGGAGAAGAGGAACGAAGGGTCGAAGAAGAGGAACGGATGGTCGGAGGAAGGAAAACCGACGGTCGGAGGAAGAAAAGAAAAATGAGGAAGAAGAAAATGGTGAGTTTCGAAAATGGATGGATTTTTTGGGATTTTGAGATTTTTTTTAATTTTGGAAGGTACCATTAGCGGGATTTGACCCCCAATTTACCAATTCTAAATTTTAATAATTATTTAAGATTGAGATGGGTCCTAAAGATATACTATTAATTTGTGTTATGGGTACCATCTAATTAGGATTGTTTCATGATAAGAGTATAAATTCTATAATTTTTCATCCTTCTATGTAATTACGATTTCTAAATAGAGCATCTATGTATTAATTCCATTTTTTTATATATGTATTTGTCATATATTTTTTATATATGAAAGTAAGGTCCAAGTCCAAGTGCTAAGTTTATTTTTGGCTTTTGTGTAATTATTCATCCATATGACCCATTTGAGTGTGGGCTTTTGATCCATATATTAAAATTGTGTAAACCATCTAATAAATATATTTCATATATTTCTGTCTCAACAAATTTCAAGTGATTAGGCATTTTTATATTTTCAAACTCAAATTTGAATTCTCACATTTATAATATTCGACAAAAATTTTCCACATATAAATATGGTTTAAGAACTTTTCAAATGAGTCTTTTTTTTATTCATCACATTTAGTGAATATGGTTTTTTTTTATCACTAAACAAAATTTAGACCTAAGGTTTGGAGAACAAGATTTCTCTTCCTTTTTTTTTTTTTTTGGTCCAACCCCACATAATAATAATAATAATAATATTACCATTTTTAAAAATAGAAATATGACCACTAGAACCTAGACTAATTTATAAATTATTTAGAATTCTTTACCTTTTTATAAAAAAGTAGCATTGAATTTTCACAAATATACAATTTTGATTCTCATCCTTACACTTTTTTTTCTTTTGTTTCTAAACTTTCGCACAAACTTGTTTGAGTATTTGTTAGTTAATTTTTGTTTTACATTACAAAAAACTCAAATTCATCCATTCTGAATATAAAAGTCAAACCAAATAAATGTTATTTTTAAAGAGAGAGCAAATTCATCCAGTATTACTTAGATTTTTGTCACGTGCAATACAAAAACTTGATAACAATAATAATCCAAAAAAAGTCAAAGCGAGCCTTGCTCAACCGTAATTGATATATAGCGAGTCTTGCTCAACCGTAATTGGTATATATTTCCAATAATAATAACAACCCAAAAAAAGTCAAAGCGAGCATTGATCAACGGTAATTGGTATATATTTCCAATCAAGAAGTTGTGAGTTCGATCCCACCCTCATGTTGTACTAAAAAAACAACTAAAAAAAAAGGCATGGTTCAATATCCAAATTAAAATCATCTAAAACAGCTCTCAAAAACTAACATAAAATAAATTATAAAATTTCAAGGATGAGAGCAATATTCAAAACTAACATTTATAATATTTCACATATGTGTGTATATATTAATCACCTGTAAAGTCACACCACATCAATCATAATAAGAAAATTATTGTCTTGCAAATATTTACTATTTTATATTGACCAATATATGAAAATATGACAAGATTTATTTTGCTATATGTCAATATTCTCACTTTATATACATACATGTATACGAGGTTCAAATTCCAATCCAGATTGAAGTCAAATATATATATATATATATATATATATATATTTTGAAGGAAAAATATATAAATACACACTTTATTATATAATAAAATAATTAAATGTATGGTTCCCATATTCACATTGAAATCTTATGTGACTTTCCATTGGGCAGTTGGATCTAGATTTTTTTTGCATTAAATATTACAAGTAATTGTAGAAGAAAATCAGTGTGTGCTTAGCCACTCATTGACAATGCATTAATTTATATAACCAAACTTTTCTCTTCCTTCCCTTTCTAGGTTTAGAAAAAAAAATCTAAATAATTATATACTTTAAGTTAGATGAAAACCCTAAAATACCCCTGATTCCTTTCTTTTTCTTTTTCCCTTTTTTTCTTATTTTTTTTTTTTTGAAACACCCGATTCCTTTCTTAATGTGCAATTAACAGTCAATTCATTTATATTCTAAAAATTATATTATTTGCCTCAATGGAGAGAGAAAATATTTTGGATCCTTTGCCAAAAAAAAAAAAAGTAATAATAATCTGATGGCCATTAATTGATGTTTGTGAGTATAAATTATTTGGCCTCAAACTTCAGATGCACCTTGTGTGGCTCAGTCACATTGTTTGTAATAAAATATTAGATAATTATCTCATAAAAACTCTTCTAATACATGTTTTTATTCACTCATAACTTTACCCTGTTTCGAATACTTGATTCATATATGATAGCATTGCTTATTGTATGATTATCATCTCGGTGTGCTCAAACCATATCGTCGCATAACCATCATCAAACTCGTGTAGCTTTCTCGTCATAGTGAGCATGCGATAATTGGCATATATTCCAACCAAGAGGTTGTGAGTTCAATTCTCCACCCCTCGTGTTGTACTAAAAAGAAGAAGAAGCTAAGAGCGTGTCTCAAAGTTATCAATTATTTACTTTAAATTAAAATTTCAGTTTCTATACATACTAGCTCTACCAAAATAATAATAATAATAAACAAAAAGATCCTAAAAAGAAATTAAAAGGGTAGAAAATAATTTCAAGAAACTATCCTGAAAGAAGTTAAAATAAAAATTATTCATTTATCATATTTTATTATTATTCCAGAAGTGGATTCCAGTAATAATATTATATATATATATATATGTATATATATCTTCTTTTTATCAAAATATTCTATATATCAATTTATCTGTTAAAAATAAACAAATAAAATATTAAAGTGGTGGAATATCTACGTGAAAGGTCGTCAGTAGTATATCTGGTTTATTTTAAAATTAAAAACATATATATATTAGACCCTGATCTCTGTCTCAGTATTATTTTATTCTATTTTAATTTAAGAAAATTTCATCTTACTGTTCATTTTAATTTCACCAAATTGAATCAGTTCAAATTCCAAAAATTATTAAATATGATATCCACCTATGTGATTGGTTGTAATGAATACATATCCAATAAATATATAATTTTTAAATTTATCTCTCGTCAACCTAACTTCTATACTATAAAATCGTGTCAAAGTGAAC